TATATCTGAGGATATATATATAATATATAATATATATATAATATATATAATATATATATAATATATATAATATATAATATATATATTTTTAAAAAACATGGTTATTGGGTGGGAGAGTTTCTTGTTAATACGCAAATCAATTAAATAATTTAAGCCTTAGGTAGAGGAACTGCCTAGACAATACAGCCAGCCACGTCTGCATCTTTCTACTGACCATTCTCTAGGACATTCTCTTTAAAAACTAACTTTTCTCTTTAAGGGTTCCTGAAATTGTGCCTGCTGTCTCCAGGTCCACCCTGACCCCACAGCATAAACCATGCTGTGATGTTACACAGCTACCATAGAACTCCAGGGTAGTGTTGAGCTGGCCCATGTGGGTTCAGGTAAGTCCTGGCTTTTTTTTTTACCATTTGGCATTTTTTTCAAAGTTAGTTACCATTATGATTTTATATCATAAAGGAAAATAAGTCAAAACTTTGAAAACTGTGCCATATATGGGGGAAAAATAAGTCTATTATTTAAACATCTAAAGAGCCAGCTCCAAATGCTAACCAATGGAGTTCCATAGTAGCTGTGAAGTCCCCAGTGAGTTTTTGACCTGTGGCTTCAAAATCTGTTAAGCTCACTCTGGCCCAGTTATATAGGACAACATGATAGAAGCTTTCCTGCTGTAACTGCCTCTTGAAGATTTTATTTGGTAGCTAATAATATGCTATATGCTTTCATTTACTTAAAGACTACATAACTTAAACTTTTCATTAACATTTCCCTTACCTCTAATTGCCAGTAGTTGAATGAATAATGAAACTGGGGGTCAGTTTTAGGTTGCTGGTTGGTTTTAGTCTCAGAGAGTGCTTCTAGTTGTCTTTATTTGCCTTTATAATAATACAAAGGACGAGGGGCAAGACAGAACACACAATGTAAGTGTGTTAAATTAAAGAATACTAAGGCACTTCAGTTACTTTTGGAGACATTGTGAGTGATCAGAAGCCTAAAGAACAGGTATAGATTTTAGAATGGATCAATTCCACCACCCCCAGTCTTTGTTTTGTAAAGTTAGGCTTTAACACTTAACATTTATTTGTTATCCTTTTCTGCCTTACTGTGCTTCTGTTTTTTCTTACTTTTATCCTTGATGTTAGAAGTTGCTAAAAATGTAAAGAACTTGGGGACATCTTTGTGATTGTGATAACCTTCCTCCTCCCTAAGCAAAAAAAAAAAAAAAAAAAAAAAATATGGTAGCTAAAGTTTATTTGCATGACACAGTTAGGTCCTTCTAAATCTCAAACCTACAGTGAAAACTCATGTAAGAAACTCTAAACTTGATTAGTAGCTCTTTCTGAACACTAATAAAATTTAACAAAACTTGAACAGTTTCATGATGTTCTCATGAACTTTGATCTGTAATTTGGTTAGTGAATACTATATATATATAAGTATATATATACACTTATATATAACATATATATACAAAATATGTACTTATATATATAAAACACACACACACACATATATTCCCAAAGCATTAGACAGTAAATGTTATTAAAAAGAGGTAGTTTGTTCCTTTTTGTGTTGGAAAGGTTGTAGTCTTATTCTTTAGCCTCCTCCTTCTCCAATGTGTGTTTTGTGGAACAACACAGCATAGTCCTGCTTGAGTTTAACAAAAATTGGAAGGAGAGAATTCAGTATTTTTGATGTTCAAGTCAAATGAAAATTCTGACTGGTTCTGTGTATTTTGGTTTTGTGTATGTGACTCAGCTTTCTAAGGTATGATACATATAACATGGAGTTTAACATTTGAAATTCTGGATACTTTGAAGACAGGCAGGCAGTAGTAGTGTCAATTGTAGTCCCAGGCTTAGTTTGCACAGTTCAATGTTCTGGTTGGTCTGATCTCCCCACCCCATGTGCCAATGCTAACGTCAGACATTCTTCAGGAATATTAGTGAGGAAATGAATTCTTAAGAACTTCTAAGACATCAGCTATACAGAGACTTAGCTAAAGAGTGAAGGTTGTTATTTAGAGAATATTTTCTTCTTCTAAACCAAAGAAAGTAGTCACTTGATATTTAGCTTTAGATTGCCTCACATGTGTGCTTTGGGGGGGAAAATATTTTAACACACAGCAATTTCATACATGTCTATACATCTGAATACATATGCACAAATCTTCCTCTTTGTCTATTCAGATAAATTGATCAAGCTCTTGGGTTACTTTTAGAATTTGGAGCATTTTATGTGTAATATGTATTTTATAGATAGGTAATAATTTTTAGGTTTTAAGCCAAAAATCTGTAGAGGTTCAGAGATGCAGTGTTTTCCTTCCCATGTCGGGTATCAAACCCAGGGCCTTCCGATTGCTAGGTATGTGCTGTACCACTGAATTAACTCCAGTTCTGGTTCTGTCTCTGATAGGACTGAAGGAGAAAACAGTTGTCTTTGTAAAGAAGCATTTACATGTAGAAGCATGTAGGGTGGGGTATAGTGGCACATATCTGTAATGCCATCACTTGGGAGACTGGGGTAGGGGAGTTGTCTCAAGTTAGAGGTCATTCTTTGGTACATAGTGAGTTTCTAGACTTGGGCTGCCCTAGCAAACAAAATAAAATAAAACACCTATAGAAACAAAAGGAGATAGGGTGAGTATAATTAGTTCTAAATATTACAAATTGCATTAAATTAGTTTTAGACTTTTTTGTATACTTGAATATAATTAGAAATAGAAAATCCTTTAATGATAGATGATTTTAATAAGCAGCACTACTTAGTCTGTTCTTGAGCTTTATGCTTCAGGAAGATGTTATGTTGTCTCATGCTAACTACTACAGTTTGGTCCTAGTGACTTCTAGGGCACTTTTCTTCACAAGGATGTTTTGAAAGCCTTTATGTTTAAAGTAGATGAGGGCCGATTTTTATAGTTGAAATGTATTGACCCAAAATACAAACTAAAATTTCTGTAAGAAGCATTCTTAGTTAATAACATGAGGGTTTCAGCTGGTTTTGTTTTTATGTTGTTGGGATTGAACCTAGGTCTTCATATACGCTAGGCAAAATAAAATAAAATAAGATAAAATAAAATAAAATAGGGTCTACCATGGAGCAAACTTTACACCCAGCCCCAATGTAGTGGACTTTTATTTATTTGAGTTGGAAAGCTGCACTCTTGTTACTTGGGCTTGTTATGCTCTTAGAATCACAGGATCTTCCTGTCTGAGACACCTAAGACCAGGGATTATATAGTTTACAGCATCATTTCTACTTTCTCATGAGCCCTTAACTTGAAAAATTTATATGTGCATGTTGGGTGTGGGTGAGGATTTAGATTGACAGAAAACATCCATAACTCTTAGGAGTTTGAAAACTTTTAAAGCTGACCTTCATTCCTCACAGATGTGATTTAAAAGGATTTGGGGGAGACTAAGCATCATGTACTTACTGTCTTTTGTGCTTTTATTGCTGTAGCACAGTATTCAGGATGCAACAAACGTACAGTGAGTGTGGGAATTAAATGGTCAATTTTAAGATTGGTTGTCTGTAATAAGGAGAGGACTGTTTCATTGTACTAGGTATAAGGAGTGTCTTTATCTCAATTCCTAATTCAAAAAGGCATTAAAATGCCTTTTTAAAAATACACTAAGGGACTGGAGAGATGGCTCAGCGATTAAGAGCACTGCCTGCTCTTCTGAAGGTCCTGAGTTTAATTCCCAGCAACCATATGGTGGCTCACAACTATCTGTAATGAGATCTGGTGTCCTCTTCTGGCCTGCAGGCATACATGCAGACAGAATACTGAGAATACTGTACATATAATAAATAAAATCTTTAAAAAAAATAAAAATACACTAAGAATATTTTTAGTTAAATACTAAAAATACTCAAGATGGACTTTATTTTTCTGATATAATTTAGGAAGCACTGAAAAATAGTTGGTCTGATAATTTGTTTTACTGTATTTATTGAAAGCTAATGTACACTCTCATCCCCTCCCCCAGGCTGTTTATTATCCATATTGTCAAGTAATTACTATCATAACATTAATTTGTGTTAAGGTTAATAAAATGATTTAATGGGAATGGAAGTTTTATGACTTTGAAAAAATGTTATTTCTTTTCTGTTCCTGCCCCTAATTGTTTTATTTTAGTATATTTAAAATTGTGTAGTATAAGTTTTAACAGTTATCATTCTTCTCCCTTTCTCTCAGTGTATAGACCAGGCTGGCCTTACAGAGATCTGGTTGCCTCCGCCTCCCACGTGCTGGGATTAAAGATGTATACAACCCACTTTCTTTAGAGATGTTGTCTCTCTAACACAGTGGAATTCACTGTGGAGCCTGGGCTTGTCGTGATCGCAAGTCCTCCTCCTTTAACTCCCAAATGAAGAGCTGCAATCACAGTTGTGAACCGACATATGCAGCCATTTGTGAACAATTTGTAATGTGTATAAGGACGTCTTGACTGTGGGAGATTCTGAATTCAAAATGCTGTCAATTTTTACTTAAAATGAAAATTATTTTAGAGCTACACAGCAGTGTAGAAAGCTCAGTTTTTGTTTTATTCTGCTTTAAAAATTCAGGGTAAAGGGCAGAAATAGCCATACACTAAATGGAAGCACATGTGTGTCTCTGGGTTTTGCCATCAGGATGAATGCAAGATAATAATGGCTCATTTTTTCTGTGATATCTAGTTTCTCAAACTACGTTGTCCTTATTCATTTTTAATCCATTTACTGTATTCTGATCGTTCTTTAAAGTCTGCCAGAGTTTGGAGCCTAGCCATGATGGTGAGGTAAGTGCCAAACGGGGCAGTTCTAGTTCTAGAAAGAAAATTTGAAATGGTAGGGAAATATTAATTTTCCTTATTTTCTTTAGGACATGTAAATGATGTCCCAGGATCCAGGAAGTACAAAGGAATGTTAAAGAATTTAGTGTGGTTACTTCACCTGTATATGCCTTTTGAAGAAAAACAGATTTAAGTGCTTTTCTATCTTGGTGCTTGTTTTAGGGGTGGTGGAAGGTGATTTAGCAGCCATAGAATCATACAAGTCATCAGGAGGAGACATTGCACGTCAGCTCACTGCAGATGAAGTACGTTTGCTGAACCGTCCTTCTGCTTTTGACGTTGGCTACACCCTGGTACACCTGGCCATACGCTTTCAGAGGCAAGATATGTTAGCAATATTACTTACAGAGGTAAGTGTGGCATTTTGTTTATTGAAACCAGGGCTTGTATGTGTTTGGTAATGTTCTTTTATATTGAAGAAATAGATTCTTTAATTGTTTTTTTTTTAAACTCTATTTTTTTTATCGCTATACTGTGGGTTGAATGTAGGACCTTGTACATACTAGGCAAGTGCTTTACTACTGAGCTATATCCCCAGCCCTAATTTTTTATTTTTAATGTCACAGCATTTCTCCAAATTCTTAAATGTTTTTTAAAGGATTTATTTATTATGTATACACTGTTCTGCCTCTATATGTCCCTGCAGGTCAGAAGATGGCACCAGATCTCATTAATGGTTCTTGTGAGCTACCATGTGGGTGCTGGGAACTGAATTCAGGACCTCTGGAAGAGCAGTCAGCACTCAGAGTCAACCTCTGAGCCATCTCTCCAGCCCAAATTCTTAAATGTTTTAAACTTTTTTACTTGTTGTTAAAAATCGTTTTAATTTTAAGAGATTTTTAATGATTTCAAGATTTATTTTTATTTTTAGTGTGTGAGTGTTTTGCTTGCTTTTTGTATGTGTGTGTGTAGTTTGAGTGCAGTGACCTTGGAGGTCAGGAGATGGTGTCTCATCCCTTTGGAGTTGGAGTTATAGTTGATTGCAAGATGTCTCATGGGTGCCAGAAACCAAACCCATGTCACACTCTGCAGAATAGTCAGTGTTCTTAACTACAGAGCCATCTCACACTCTAGCCCCTTCAATTGTATTTTAAAGGGCACTCCTTCCCTGGTGTGGTAGGTACTTTATTGTTTTGTTTTGTTCGTTTGTTTGTTTAAAAGATAGGATCTCATTAATTCAGGATGAGCATTGTAGTTAGCCAAGGACTGCTCCTTGAACCACTAATCCTTCTGTCCATTTCCCAACTGCTAGATTGTAGGCCTGTTTTACCATTCACACACACACACACACACACACACACACACACACACACACACACCAACACCTGTTTTTGGTGGGGGTGGGTGGGGAAGGTGTGGGGGAGTCCGGGACAGGGTTTACAGGTCTGACTGTCCTGGAACTTGCTTTGTGGACAAGGCTGGCCTGGAACTCTGAGAGATCTGCCTGCCTCTGCCACCCGAGTTCTGGGATTAAAGGCATATGACGCCACCATTCGGCTCTTTTTCCCTTTTGTGATGAGAATTATGTGTTGCCTAGACTAGCCATGATCCCCTATACATAGAACATCTAGCCTTGAAATGCATATTCATAGTTTCCTGAGTTGATGGAGCTACTGATGTACACCACTGCTCCCAGCAATATAGCCTTAGAAGCAGGACTTTTTTCCATTAATACTTGAGTCATTAGGTTTGATTAAAACACACAGGAACTTACTTTTATTTGTTCATTCAACTAAGAAATACTTTTTTAGTGCCTATGCTACATTCCAAGCTCTGTGGCAGAGAGGATAGAATTGTAAGGTGTTGACTCTTTCTTTATTGAGTTTCTAGAGAAGTGGATAAATGAATGGGTATTTCTGTATAGTGTGAGTAAATGACCATTTGAGTCCTTAGGAAAGAACTTGGGAGGTATCTTCACTTCCTTCTTAGCAAGTCACATTTCATCAAGTTTCCCTCTCCCCCGCTCTTGCTCTTCCTTTGGCCTTGCCTTCTTCCCATCACAGGATTGCAAGTATCCTAGGCTAGCTCACAACTTGCTATGAAAACTGAGGATAACCTTGACTTTTTAACCCTTCTTCCACCTCCTGAGCACTGAAATTACAGGTTTGCTCTGCTGCACCTAGTTTGTACTGTGCTTGGGATGGATCTGGTGCAGAATACAAGGCAGGCAGTCTGCCACCAGAGCTATACCCCAGACCCCATTTCATCAGATTTCTGGAGGAGGAATAGAAGTTAGCATGTGAAGTAAGCTTGGTAGAGAATTGATTTAAGTAAGCTATTTATGAAGGTATAGGGATTATATCCATGTGACTATAATCCCAGGGATATGACTTTATTATTTGTATAAGAGACTTTATGTTTCACAATAAGAGAAATAAAATAAAAATACAGAAAGTCAGATAATGTGGATTAAATTTTTGTCAATACACATCTGGGTATGCTTTATATAAATATATAAATTGAAACTTCAAGTTTATTAGTATCTGGGAACCATTATATACAGATACTGTATGGGGATTAAAAAATATGCCATGTAGGTGAAAATTTGATTTTATTGGCTAGCCATTATGTTTACTGTAGTAAGATTCCAGTGACATCAAGGGAAGAGGTTGGGTAGACTCAGAGAAGGGAAGTTTACCATAAGGGAGGGTAGAAAGGTAGGGTGTGAATATGACATAAGCGGGTATGTCTGTAAAAAAAGCACTGAACCAAGTTCTTTTGGAATGAGAAGAGAATGTTGATTGTAAGATATGAGTCAAGATTTTCACTGAGCTTTTTTTGTCATGAACTTATGAACTCCTGGAAAAAATGGCATTTTAGTGAAGAAAAAAATAACAATGGAAATCTAGTTATTGAAATACAGCTATCAGAATAGTTAACCATATTTGTGACTTGTAAGATTTGTGTGTATGTGTGTGTGTTGGCCAAGTGGTGGTGGCACATGACTTTAATCCCAGCACTCAGGAGGCAGAGGCAGGTGGATCTCTCAGAGTTTGGGCCAGCCTGGTCTACAAAGCAAGTTCCAGGACAGCCAGGGCTGTTACACAGAGCAGCCCTGCCTCGCAATGGGGGGGGAACGGAAATGAGAGGGGATGGAGGGAGGGAGGAGAGAGAGAGGGAGAGAGAGAGTGAGAAGAGAGAGGGAGAGAGAGAGAGAGAGAGAGAGCCAGTGTGCATGTGTGTGTGCATGAGTAGCTGATGCTGGCTTAGAATTTACGATCCTCCATCTTCTGAGTGCTAAAAATTAAAGACATTGCAAGAAAATTTCTTATAGTTTAGTCCGCTAGCTTAGGAAAATGAAAGGTTCTTTTGTAGTAAACTCCATGAATCTTTTCCAGTCCTTGGACTACAGGTTAAGTACAACTGGCCTAAGGGAGGATGGTTTGAGATTTGAGAATGGTGGTGAAGAATGGTGATGAAGGGAATGTTTCATGCTCCTCTTGAAATGTGTTCAAGGTTCATTCCAAGTTGTTTTTTAAAAAAGAATTTGGGGTATTCGTGTTAGCAGTGAGTGTTCCTGACAAATAGCAATTAGGAAAATATCTGATAATTGGTTCCTGGTTTTTGTTTGTTTGTTTGTTTGTTTTGTTTTTTTTCTTCTTTTCATTTACTTGAGCTTTGAGTTTCTGGGTTCATGGAGCTAGAATGTAGTAAAAATTTTCATAGTTACTGGCAGTCAGTGAAGTCAGTGATAAAATCAAAATAAGGAGTCCTGTAACTGTGTTAATTCTGCTGAGCTAACAACTCTGGCTCCTCACTTTAGCAGCAGTAATGCATAGATGACATCGTTAGGAATGGGGTGGGGTTGAGATGTAGGCCCGGCTGCCCTCTTAGTTCCTGGTCTTCCCACCTCAGACTTTCTAGTAATCATGATTACAAGTGTGCACCATCATTCCTTGTTCCACACATGAATACAGCTGGAATGCTAGTTAGAATTTGTACCATTTGTTGCTATTCCATATTTCATAACTGTTTTGAATAGTTGTCCCATTGATATAAATGTCCACTGGCAAGGAAATAATACCTAGTATATTTAAGATTAAAAAAATTGAATTGGGGGAAATTTTGCTAATTTAAGTGCTGTTATGTTTTGTTTCTATTCATGATAAATAAGATACAGAAGGAAGTTTCTTTCTGTATTTAAGGTGTCTCAACAAGCAGCAAAGTGTATTCCAGCAATGGTGTGTCCTGAACTGACAGAACAAATCCGGAGAGAAATAGCTGCTTCTCTTCACCAGAGAAAGGGAGATTTTGCTTGCTATTTTCTGACTGACCTTGTAACATTTACATTGCCCGCAGGTAACCCCAAAATTTATTATGAAAAGCAGTCTCTGTTTTCTTACAGTTATTTTTTTTTACATAGAGGTAAAAGTATGTTTTTGTGAGAAAGTTGGGTTTTTAACATTTTTATATTTTATGTGTACGAGTGTTTTGCCTGCATGTATATCTGGCACCACATGTATTTCTGGCACCCACGGAGGCCAGAAAAGGATATTAGATCCCTGGAAGTGGAGTTAGAGACAGTGGTGAGCTGCCATATAAATGCTGAGGATCAAATTTGGGTCCTCTAGAAGAGCAGCCAGTGCTCATAACTGCTGAGCTATCTCGCTAGCCCCATAAGTTAGGATCTTAAGATTTGACTGTTCTGTTTCTGCTTGATGTCACTCATACAAGAACTGTTTCTAAGCAAATACTTTGATGATTAGAAGACAGTAAATGATTTTTGTTATTGTTGTTGGCTTTAGTTTAATTTGAAGACAAGTTCTCTGTAGTTCATGTTATCTAGAACTTGCACAGATCTCTTGTTTCATCCACATGAGTGCTGGGATTATAGGTGTGAAGTCACCATTTTCCATTTCTTATGTGTCCTTTTCTTGAGACAAAGTCTCATTGTGTAATTCTGACTGGGCCTTGACCTTGCTATGTAGACTAGGCTAGCCATGAACTCATACCTCCCTCTTGAGTACTGGGATTAAAGAAATATGCCACCACATCTGGCATATTAAAAACAAACAAATATACATATATATGTGTGTGTACGTATACATACATATATATACATACATACACACACAGACATACATATATATTACCCATTCATTTTCTCCTTTTATTTAAGAATATTCTTTAGTTTCCTATTTTTAATTTTCACATCTTTCTGCTTTGAAACTATATATACCCATTGGCTACTACTAAGAATTGGGATACATTCGTACATACATACATACATACATACATACACACACACACACATATGTATATATACACACACATATGTTAGGTTATTTGAATTAAAAATAATAGAACCTTTGAGTATGTCACTGTTTTTCATCCATTAATTTCTGTTGTATTTATGAAGCATCTGTTAATGTTTTTAATTTTCTCATAGTTGAAAGTGTCTGGAGACTACCTTTTGTGAATTGATATTGAATAAATACAACAAAGAACTTTTTCTTTTTCAAGTAAAGGTTCTATCTGGTACCCGAGTGTTTTCAATCTTTTGTAATCAGAAATATTTGTATGTGGGAAGGGTTAATAATGAAGCCTTTGTTTGGTTTTGTTTTTTGAGGCGGTTTCTCTGTACCTCTGACTGTCATGAAACTTGATCTGTAGATCAGGCTGGCCTCAACTCACAGATATCCTCCTGCCTCTGCCTCCTGAGTACTGGATTAAAGGTTTGTGCCACCATGCCTGGCTAATGAAGCCTTTTAGAATCAATAAATTTCATACAATATACTGTATATTAAGCTTATCTCAAGGTATTAACTTAAAAAATCATTATTATATTTTCTTATTGTGTGCATGTGCTAGTCATGGTATGTTGTTGAGGTTAGAGTACTACTTATCTGAATTGGTTCTCTCCTTCCATCATATGAGTCTTGGGGATTTGAACTCAGACAGTCAGACTTGATAGCATGTGACTTTTCCTTCTAAGCCTTCTTGCCAAACCATACATAGGTTGTTGTTTTGCTTTTTAAAGAATTAAAGATACCATTTAAAAAATTAAACTTAAAAGAACAGAAAAAAACTTTAAAATTAAAACAATATATTTAATGTATATATGTATGAATGATTTCCTTGCATGTGTACATGTACACTAAGTGTGTGCCTAGTGCCCTCAGAGGTCAGAAGAGGGCATCAGTTTCCTTGGAACTAGAGTTAAGGTTAACTATAATCCATCATTTAGGTGTTGTGACTTGAACCTAGGGTCCTTTGCAAGAGCAATCAGTTGTCTTAATCATTTAGCCACCCCTCGCCCCCCAGGGGCTCTTAAGGGTAATGCTTTTTATACAGTAGAGTTGTCTATTAAGTAACCTAAATAGAACCTAGAGTACTTGAGGAAGGTTATGAAAATATTGTGTGTCAAAGTGCATGGCTCATTAGCTTTTATGAGAAAATTTTTAAATTTGCAAATAACAGGTTTAAGACTGGCAGTGGTAGTGCACACTTTTAATCTCAGTACTTGGGAGGCAGAGGTCAGCAGATCTCTTGAGTTCAAGGCCAGCCTGGTCTACAGAGCAAGTTGCAGGACAAGCAGGGGTACATAGAGAAACCCTATCTTGAAAAACTGGGGAGGGGGGAAGGTTTCTACAAAAAAGCACCCCATATGAAGAGAAAGAACAAATAAAAATCTATAAGTATTTGTTTACACATTATTTTTTATATTAACTTTAAGAATATTAGTAATGAAACTCAAAGGAAATTTTATATATATTCATATATATGTATGTATATATAGTCATGTTACATACAACATTAAACATAGATATCTGACAGCTTCAGTAGAAAAGAGGTGTTTTTATTAGAAACTAGCATTTAGTTATTAAATATGAGAACTGCTTTTAAGCCTTATTTTTCTGTGCAGATATTGAAGATTTGCCTCCAACAGTTCAAGAAAAATTATTTGATGAGGTGCTTGATAGAGATGTTCAAAAAGGTAAGTAAATGATGAATAGTATAATTTACCCTTTATCAAATCAGTAACCTGTTTCATTTTTATTTGTTTTATAATTTATTTATTATGTATTTAGTGTTCTGCTTGCTTGTATGCCTGCAAGCCAGGAGAGGGCACCAAATCTCATTACAGATGGTTGTGAGCCACTGTGTGGTTGCTGGAAATTGAACTCAGGACCTCTGGAAGATCAGCCAGTGTAGTGCTCTTAGACTCTGAGCCATCCCTCCAGCCCGTTTCATTTTTTATAGTGTAGGAAGTTGTTCATTTTGTAGTTGTCTTGCCTTGTTTTCAATTAAAAATGTAGAGTCCTTAAGAGCAGTGTCATAGTGGGCTCATATGCAAGTTCCTGGATTTGACCTGCAACCCTGAAACCAACAGTGCAAAACAGAAAAGACTCTCACAGCCTTGGGCTGCGATAGAGTGAACAAGTATATAAATTAACTAAAATTTCAAAACCTTGGTTTTCTACTACTTACTCTAGAATGAATATATTTTTGTATTAAGTATTTTTGTTAAAAAAGATTGTAAAGAATTTGTGAAAGTTAAATAATTATTCCAGGACCACAATATGCTTAACATTTTTAGAAAGTTTACATTAATTATGTAGGCATGAAAATGAACGTATTATTTAAATTCCTTCTAGAGCTAGAGGAAGAATCTCCAATTATAAACTGGTCTTTGGAGTTGGCTACACGTTTGGACAGTCGATTGTATGCACTTTGGAACCGGACTGCCGGAGATTGTTTACTTGACTCAGTACTACAAGCTACTTGGGGCATTTATGACAAAGACTCGGTGCTTCGGAAAGCCCTGCATGACAGCCTCCATGACTGTTCACATTGGTGAGCTGGTACCCTTCCCTGTTTCAGTTTAGAATTGCTTTTGCTGGGTCATTTCCTTATAGTAGTGGGTTACTTTTCTTCTCATATATAATTTTCTTTTTAGGACTGTGTGTGTGTTTGGTACACAAGGAAGCCAGACTATTGGACTCCTTGGATCAGTTTGAGCTGTCATGTGGGTACTAGGAATTGCACCCAGGTCCTCTGAAAGAGCAGCAAGTACTTTAACTTTTGAGCCGTCTCAGCTACTGACAGTGGTGGTACTCATCCTTAATCCCAGCAGTGGGAACATAGAGGCAGGTGGATCTCTGAGTTCAAGGCTAGCTTGGTCTATATGGTGGGTTCTGGGACAGCCAGGGTTACATAGAAAAACCCCATCTTGAAAAACAAAAACATCCCAGCCAACCAAAAAACTATTGAACCATCTCTCTAGCCTATCTTAAATAAAAAAATTTAAAAGCTTTATTTTTAATGTGGTCAGGAGTGGGGAGGGAGAGAGAAAGAATGTGTGTCTGCCTATACAGAGGGGTGTGGTTGATTGGATTTTGTGATGGCAGGGTTTTTGGTGTGTGTGTGTGTGTGTGTGTGTGTTTAAATAGATCTGTATAGGTCTGCCTTGTAAGTTCAATGTGATTGCACTGTAAGGTGAGTAGATTCTCTGGTGCTGATTTTAGTTTCTTAGCTGGAAAGCCAAATCTGAACTGTGGTAAATCTACCACCTTGCAAAATTTGCTTTGAAAAGCAGCCTGGATCAAAGGCATAGTGGTACTCCTGTAACCCCAGCACCTTGGATGGAAGTGACAGGAAGACTGAGTTCAAGGCTACATTTCAGTTGTGTATGAAGACCCTGTCTCAAAAATTTTTGCCCCATATAAAATCAAACACATCACCCAAGATAGCTTGGGAATTTTCCTTTGATAGTAATTGACTTATCTCATATGACTGAATTGTGAATTTTAGTAGTTGATTTACTTCTTTCCCTAATTGTGAAGCTTTTATTTTTAACTCTTTCATTTCTTTTAATATTTATTTATTTATTTATTTATTTATTTATTTATTTATTATGTATACAATATTCTGTCTGTGTGTATGCCTGAAGGCCAGAAGGGGGCACCAGACCTCATTACAGATGGTTGTGAGCCACCATGTGGTTGCTGGGAATTGAACTCAGTACCTTTGGAAGAGCAGGCAGTGCTCTTATCCGCTGAGCCATCTCTCCAGCCCAACTCTTTAATTTTTAAAAGACATTTGAGGTTAATAATAGTAGGTTTGGGGCTAATTTTTGCCTTTTTCTTAATATTGACAAGTGATCTTCTGATATTTATATATTTTTTTAATAAATTAATTAATTTATTTTTTTGTTTATAAAAATTTCCACTTCTTCCCCTCCTCCCTATACCCTCCC